CAAGGACAAACCTTTATTTTATTTTATTAGAAATATTTCACTAAGAAATATGACTTTTTGTGTGTGAAAGACTTGTAATATTAACTGAAAGACTGCCAAATTTCGTGAAGATATACCCTATATATATAGTTATAAGTATTAAATTTATATCAACTTTAAACGAGTACAAAAGGTCACGTGACTCAGTCAAATTGACCGACCCCATGTTGGGAAGAGTTAAAAACTACTTAGTTGCACCTTCTTAGAATAAATGGTTAAAAAATGATCTTTGTGACTTTACTTCACTAGTTTTGGAGTTCCCTGAAAAAATGAGTAGGCATACTGCTTATTAACCAGAAGAAACAAAAAATAACTTGAAAATTGGAAACCAGAAGCTTAAACTAGCAGTATTTCTTTTCATGATAAATAATGGATTGGGTTACACTTTCTCATTTTAGTTGCTTTATGTTTTAGATATTTCACACACTCACCTGAGAGCAGATAACCAGAGTTAAACAAAATCCAATATGTACATTTATAAATTTTGGTGCAAAAATTTCATTTAATTTCTCAAAGCTACAATACAGTCATTATTCCACAGTATCAAATGTGGAATTACCATATCACTAAAGTAAAACTTTGCATCCCTAGTAAAAAAATTTAAAAAATATTATGCTTGAATTTATTAGGAGTAAGTTAAAACTCAAAAATGTATCTCTTCAGCATCATTAAGTTTCAACAACCTACCTTTGATTACATTGCAGCCTGGCATCTTTGGTCCTACACCACAGAACTGCAACTTCTGTAACTCATTACTTGGGGAACATGCTGTATCACCCTAAAAGAACAGGTTCTTTAATACTTCCTATTTTTTACACACCTTATCCCAACGAAAAAAGTTTTCAATGTTTTATTTTCTACGTTTCAGTCTGCCACCAACATAACTAAATAAAGACATTTCTCACTTTCAAGGGAAAGAAAATAAAATCTTATGCTTGAATAACTATAGCTACATATGCATTCATATGTAATGTATCTATCTAATATCAGTATCATCTAGCTTCTTCATTTATGTATCAAACGTGTTTTTTCACATTAAAGGAAAAAAAAAACCTTTAAGTTCAATATTTCATGTTCCCACATACTTGTATCCTGATGCATTAATTTTTTCTATATTGGTTCTGGCTGTCAGATGAAAAGTGGTATTAATTTACACAACACTTAAGCTTACCGCATTTTCTGAACAGGACATTGTTCCTTTTGTGTGCCGTTTAGATCGCCGAGCAACTTGTTCAGGAGGAGGCTTAATTGCCTGACGTGATGGAATACCATGAGGAATGTAATCTGTATCTTTTTTGTCTTTCTCCTCCAGATCTTCCAAATTCTATGTCAATAAAAAGTTGGAAAGTATAATTTCAAGTAACTAGTGTAAACACGCACACTTAAAGTGAAGCTTGATCTCTCTCTCTCTCTATTTTTTTTATACAATCAAACCCTAGCATTTGCAGTACATGTGTAATAATGGTATGTCTAGTGAGCATATAAATCAAAAGTTATGTTTTGTCTAAGTAAGTTATTTTAATTAGCATTCAAAATAATGAAATACAAAAACAATCTTGCAAACTTTCATCTACTAAATTAAACACAAGAGCAATGGCTACTAAATAACTAAATACTTATATCCACACACTTCTGAAAAATAAAACTGTCTGGTATCAGATATGAATCCTCACAACTTTGTCTTTAACCAGACAAGAATGATAAAATGCATATGGTACAACAAAACAAGTTCTTAAAAGAATGATTTAAACATTTTTTTCATTAGATTCAAATTATAGCCAACAAAACTACAGTAAGTATTTCTAATTTTCTAACTCGTACTTCTACTGACTAGACTTAGCACTTCCAAATAAGTTTTGTAGAACCCATTCTACACAATTCCATTGTATTATTCAAGTTTTGCCATAATTTTAAAAATTAACAAACAAACATATATTATTCTTCTGACTTATCCTATCCTAGCTCTTGAGATAACAATTAATGTTGAAAAATGTTGTATAGTAATCATTAACGTGTATAGTAAGTTAACAAATTTCACAGAAGTTTTGTTCAGACTTTGATTTATTATACCTATGAAAGGATTATGATTTTAGATCAATTTGAGGAACCAGCCATGGTAAGCAAAGTATGACATCTTTAAGTATGCAAGACACCTTTTAGTAATGTTAAATTACTGAGTAGTATAACCAAGGAGAACATGCTCGAACATTATGAAGCAAATTTCTTAACATAAAAGGATTATTAAAAGCATTAAATTTTATTAATTTCCTTCCATGTTGATATACAGTCTTAAAGGATATGAGCTATATCAAACTTACAATGTTTTCCAAGCTTGCTCCACTTTTAAAAATGTCATAAGGGTAAAGAATACGCTCATAATGTTGCCGTAAGAGAGAACCAATGCTCTTTCCTGGTGGGTACCCCATGCGGGAAGCCACTTTAGACCATTTTCTCTCCTTCGTTACAACATCCATTCCACCTTCTTGCTGAACAATCTAAAACAGAAATCACAAAAGGTTCACAGGAAAAACCTGTTTTATTTCCTAACATTTTCTTTTAGTTGCAATTTTACTTCCAGTATTGTATAAAATTACCAACAATAACCATGTATGAAATTATCTGTTTTTTTATTAAAGCAAAAAAAAAGGAATATGAAGAAATATAATTATTGTAATATTCTTGAATAAAAACAAAACTTAGACTATAGCATATTTCAAATTTAATTAATACTCAGCCTAATCTGGCTATATCTTGTGGATTGTTAACAGGACTATGGCTGAAAATACTGTTAAATTTGAGAGTACTAAAATTGCAATTCAATGCATTCTAATAATTAAAGGTTTTGTTTTTTCGTGTAATGGCTCATGACCTTATACAGAGAGTTAAAAAATATGCTTGCTCAACATTTTTACAGAGGGTTGAGTACATTATATGAAAATTATTTTGCATATGCAACTTAGCAAGTCTAATGACAACTAGGACATGTATCAGAATGATATTTTGACACTGTCTGGTGTTATCTTGGTAGTATGCTGCTATCAAAATTTGATCATTTTTGTGAAACGTATGTAACAGCCCTTTCTGATGCAAAACATTCATATACTTAGATCATAAAGATGAGTTCTGATTAGGGATTTAGAATTTCTGCAGTGTCCTTAATGGAACTGGAAATAATGGAATATGTGTCAACTTGGAGCACCAGGACCATCCACAGAGAGACCTGCAACAAGTCATAAGTGTGGCATTTTCTAATAGGTGAGAATCCATGAACAAAAAATTCAGTTTTGCCACATGCAACAATACACTGCATAATCCAGAGAATCTTTATCTGGAAAAGTAATACAAGTTGCTTCTGCAACATATCATTCAACCATTGCATACAGTGACATGAATGGTATGTCTTCATAAGGAATATCATAAATACATACCAGTCAAGTCACTGGGTGCAACACCTATGGATTTCTATGTGATTGGACTGTTGGAATGAGTGATGAGAAACCACTGTGCTTATACACTAGACATATTACAGAAATCATGCATGTAGTAGTGTGTTTTGGACACGACAGCCTTATTACAGAGCTTTATGCAATAGAAATTACACTGCAGAACTATTGTCAAGATGTACAATTTTCAGATAGAGCATGAACAGATGTTATAAAATAAGACTATAATGACACAGTGAAGGTCCTAAATTGTTCTACTATAATATACTTATCCATTGTATACTTTGGATTATATGGTTATACAAGATATGCATCAGTAAGTTATAAGTTTTACTTCTGATCAATTAAGTTGGCTTATTTTTGATCAGTAGTCATTAATAATTACAAATTATTACTAACAAAACCAATAGAAATACTTCTGAGGTAAAAAAGCATGCATTTGCAATGAAAATAAGCTAAAAGAAAACAGTTCATGATGTAGTACACACAAAGCACCCATAAATAATGTAACTTAAAGGCCTACCAAGGTATAATAATTCAATTGATGTGTGTTAATGATGTACTCTACCCAATTTTCTTAGTTATCTTTCTGACCACTGCTTTGCTGACATGGAACAGAAGTATACATAAGTATTATACATGCATGTGCAACAGAAAGGATTAAGAATTATTCAAAAATTCCTTAAATGATACAGTAAACTGCACAACCTACTTACCTCATGTATTAAATACAGATCTAAGAGCTTCCTTTCTGCAGTTGGAATCTTCAGTGAAGAGCCCTACAAATATATTACTCTTATATTAATAACAAAGTATATAATTTTTATGAAGCTCGAGACAAAACAATTTTAGAAGGCTGATTTTGGTTAATTATTGTGTATTTGGTATTAAAAAGAATTATGAAACTTGTGATGAACAACATTACTTATCTAAAAAGGGACAAAGATAAATGTTTTGGAATTTTACAGATTCCACCTTCAGTAGCTAAAACAAAATATAAAGAATTTACATCTGTCATTCAAATTACATTGCTACATATAACAATAATTAAACCAAAACAAAAGTGTGAAAATTGAACAGGAGAACAAGAAAGGAATATTAAAAAATGTTCAACTTAAACAAAGTCTGCATGTTATCGAGGGTTGGAGGATGCCATTTGGTGTTGAGATATTCTTTAATCGATAATTCTAGATCAGTGTCGGCCTTGCAGAGGATAGTGAAATGAGATACACTGAGTTGGTGTCCTGTTTCCTCACTATTGTGGTGTACAAAGGAATCAGAGGGGTCACTGAACTTTTCTTTTGCATTTTAATGTAAATTCCCATATGTTAATTTGGCTCTGACTTTTAGTGTTTATTTTCATGTACAAAAATTCAGTAGATTTAGCAGAGTAGTATTGAGAAAATTTGGAGGAAGAAACCCATGGAACAGTAGAAATCGTAATTTCAGCTTATTACAGGTTTATGATTAATACCATTCCTTGGTTTTGAGTATATCATATACACATCATAACATGACTTTCAGCTTATTACAGGTTTTGTATTATGATGTGTATATAATATACTCAAAACCAAGGAATGGTATTAATCATACTTTCAGCTTATTACAGGTTTTGTATTATGTTGCATATATTTTTTCATGTACAACTTAGGATAAAAAAAAGAAGATAATTTATTCCTAAATTGTTGTACCTGAAGTTTTCTGTCATATTAAACATAGAGTAGTTCAAAGATGTCTTTACAAAAACCAAAACAAGCTGGAAATAGGAATAACAGTTACATTTGAGAAAAATCAATTAGCAAATTTCACTACTCACCAGCTCTCATCAGCATAGGCTATATATATAAAACATAAATACAAGAAAACTGCTCAATAATTAAGTGCTTTGTGTTACATATACAATCATTATTAGTTTGCTAAACTTACCTGCAACTCCCAGAACTTTGCAATCTGATCCAGGAAGTTTAATTTAATTCTAGTGGTTGCCTATAAAGTGACAATAAAACATATTAGTTGTTTTTGTTTCATTACTAATTTAGATACTTTTATTTCCCAAATGTTTCCTTAAATCACTGAATTTTTACTCAGTTTATTAAACTTCACAAAATATAACATTAGTACTTGAACAATGTAAAAAGATTTGACTGTCTTTTGTGTATTATAAACATGGTAATGTGACTTTCCTCAAGCAGGGTAGCAATACATTAAAATAATAATTTTAATTAATAGAATATTCAACACTTTTCAAAATTATCACTTTAGAATAATATCAATATCAAGATATAATATCAATAAAAGATATATATCAAATACACATTTAAATTAACTAGTATAAAACATGTACTAAAAAAAATCATAAAATAGTATTACTATATAAAGTGTTTTTACTCAATGAAATTATTTTTGAAACCTTGCATTCATCTGTTTCTTAAATAAACAGTAAATCTCAAATTCAAAGTTAGAGCTAATATTCTATCAAGTGATGTAAACAATATAAAACTAGTAATATTTCTGCCACAAATCCACAATTCAAAAAATTAACTGTACAAGGATTATTCTTTAATGCACAAGAAGCAAAGTAAATGACATCATAGGAAAGAAAAAAGGTTCTTACCTCAAGTTCATTTAATCTCTGGACACGTGGAGTGAACTTGAAATTTTCAACATCTACTGCAAATGGTGGTTGCCAATCCTAAAAAAGTTATTAATAATTACATACACACACACATACCAAGCACTGGGTCATCTGATGCAATATTTACTTGCCATTGGGGACTATTCATTTCAAACCTTGATATAAACATAAATTTTTACTTTAATATCAATTTCTGATCAAAGCTACCTACCTACCCAGGTCAACACCACAAATGAACCTGGTAATGAGTATAGCTAATCAAATATACTTTTCTTAATTTTTTACATATAAGCATTAGAATACATTATTTCATCAGTTGTTAACCTGGTTGTTCAAAAAATTAAATCATTTGTTTTAGTATTATAAGAAAAAACATCCCATTAATGCTGTACAGGATCACCTACAAAACAGTTTTCCATATTCAAAAATAGGTATTTCCCTAAAATGAGAGTTGGTTTAGATAATGCTATGGATACCCTAAAAACTGTACTTCAAACTTTTTAATATAATTTTTCTGAAACTACTGTCTCGTTAGGAAATGTATAGGTTAGTTAACAATGAGACTATATCAAACTCTTTTAAACTATCCTGAGATTTTCTTGTCTATTGACTTTCCTCTAAATATCTTTTTCCTTACCAATAAGGATGCTTACTAATATCAAACTAATTAATAATGTTACAGAGCAAAACCTTTTCCAATGTTGAGATATGTTACACATAAAAATGAAACTGAATATCAAAGTACCTGTATAGTTAGGAAATTAACTTGATTACCTATGAGCATCAATTAGTGTCACATAAAACAGTCGATCAATTAAAATTACAATTAAATCAATTAATGTTAAAAAATAATCAACTAAACAAAATCAGTGTTTCTGATTATTATTATTTTCAATTATTCCAGGTATTCAAGTAATCAAAATATTGCCACTGTGTTTTTTTTGTGCTACTATAGCGTGTAGTCTAAAAAGATGGAAGGATGAAAACTGTGTCAGCTGTTTATTTTGTTCTCATACATAAAATGCTTATACATTGCATGAAATTTGGTGCACGTTTTTTTCTACACGTGTAGTCTGTACTTCTAAAAATTATAAAAAAAATTTTGTATTTCTACAATATTTTAAGTTGTGAATTTTTAGAAAATCTTTTGAAATGCTGTTTTTAAAAAATACTCCCTTTCATCTTAGTTTTTATTTATTGTGTGCCTAAAATAATGTAAATGTATCCAACAATTATTTTTTTAATAAAACTATAACTGATTGTATCCTAGATTTTCTAATAACAACATACTAATTTTCTTATCTGTTCATACAAGTTCTTACAAACAAACAAAGTGACTATTAAAAATACGACAGAAATAAAGCTGGATTTTTGTTTAATATTATTGATTAGAAAGTTCCATTTTATATATCCAATTAGATGTAACTTGTTTTATTTTCAACTGTTTTATTTGTTATTTATTTTTACCTATTGAAGCAGTCATTTGGCTATGGCAATAGCACAAAACATCAATGAACAATACAAGCACTGACAGATAGAAACATAACTTTCACTTTGATAAGTTTTATATGATATATAAACATGGTGCTGGTGGTATCATGACAAAAAAATGAGGAATCAGGCAGCTTAAGAATATAGATGTGTGTGTGTGCAAACATTTCAAAACAAACACTGGATAATTTGAATGTTACAAGCACTTGATAACCAGGCTATATATAGAGCCCTTTTTTTAATTTTATGTAATATTTTTGTTAAAAAAGTACAAGGCTGTCAAAACATCCACTAAAATAAATAAAAAATACCAATGTTCTATACTTACTTCAAAGAAATATCAAATTATACCAGATTTTCTGCACTATTGAAATTATATAATTGCTATATTTAACCTCTTATAAAGGTTTTATATTGTCTCACAAACCATACAGTTGATTTGTATATTACATTTTAATACTAGCTTCAAAATACAAAATTTGATCTATACCTTTCTGACATGTATACTACTATAATTGCAGTATATAAATCAGTTCAATTAGAGAAATACCACAAAGAAAAAAAACAAAAAATCGTTCTCACAAAACATTTATGGCATAATTTAAAGCAGTTGGTTATACACATTCTTTACTTAAATGCTTTACAGTTACAGCCCACAGTTATCCAAACTTAACCAATTTCTTCAGGCACAATTACAATTGGGGAGGTATAGTATGACCCTGGATTACACTGTAAAACCATTACTCTAACAAGTATTTTCAACTGTTGGATCACCATCAGATAAGTCTCCTGCTGTTCAAATGGCTCTTTCAACAGCCCCACACACATTTAGTTCTGTGTGACCCCCCCCCCCATCTTCAAAAACTGTCTTAAAGATAAACAAATCTACTTCATAAAAAACAGCAGAATATAATATAGAAAATAAGTTATAGATAGATGTAAAACACCAAAAGGTTTTCACAACATCCTATGTTATTCCAGGTGTAGTACATTTGTGTTTGCACCAAAAGTCATAAATCAAATGAGCTAGATATCCATGTTACAGCTTCAGCTTAGTGAAAATACAATAGATGGAAATCAACTACAAATATACGATTTTACTATAGCACAATGAAAAACAAGTATGAAGTCCTAAAACAGAATATTACTTACAAATATTTTGTTTACTTACAAGAAATTTAATAACATGTCAAAAAAACTGGACAATTTAACTATAAAAATGAGAAAGCTTACACTGAATTAACTGATAAAGGCAAAGAACATTATATTTTCTTTGTAATTTTATTACACCATAAAAAATAGATTTTAAAAATAACTGTTCAGGTACATGAATGTTTAACTAAGTAGGCCTACTCTTTTAATCATTACTGAAATGCTTCTATGCCTTCATTACTGACTTTCACTCTCATTTACACCTGCACAATAATAAATATATATATATATATATATATACTAGATACCAAAAATTTGTCAGAAGTAATACTTGTTTTCATAACATTACATACAAACTACATTTTAAGTCATGGCAATGACTAGATCTGGGCTCAATGAGAAAATATTTCTATGTACAATACAAAAGCGTAAAACAGAAACTTATAACTCATCATATTAAATTACTCTCATGTATCTGAAAATTACATAAGCTTCCCTTTTCAAATACTGGTATTAAAATTGATTGTTTTATAATGTCATATGTTACTTTATAGCATCTTTTGGTAAAGCATGCGCAAACAAACATAACTTCAGAGTCACATACATTCACAAATTAGGTTGTTTGCTGCATCTATACAAATTTTCATTGGATATTAAATGAAAATTCAATATCAGTTATTATTACCATAAATCCATACAGTGGCAGATTAACAGGGAACAGACAAGGCTGCTGTCCAGAGACAAATTGGGACATCAAAAATTTTACACTAGGATACCACATGTAAAGAGTGTTGTTGAAAAAGGAAGAATTATTAGAAACAAAACGAGTCTTTCAAAAAAATTTTTCTTTTAAATTTGGAGTGCTATTTGAAATTTTAACATAGTTATGAATAAGTAATCTCTTTAAGCAAAAGTTATGTTGTTCAAATCTGATCAACAATCTAAAAATGTATATATACAAAAAATGGAACTTCATTATAAATATACACACACCTGTAGACCAAGATGTATATTTAACTGTGGAATAAATGCTTGTCTTGTTGAAAAAATAATAATATGCATAAAGAGATCCCATATCATTCACTGTTCTGGAGCCCTGAGGTGGCTTAATCTGCTGTTGTATCCAAATGCTTATTAACATTACATGCCTAATATGACAGTTTTAATTCTTTTTTTATGACCTTTAATAAGCCACCAACTTACAGAAAAGTTGTACTTTTATTAACGATATTTTAATTTTGTATTCTTCTTTCATTTACTCTTATTCTGGACTGTGTCAGCCATATTAGTAAAAAAAGTCTGTAGAGTATGAATGGCAGCTATATCGTCTTCTTCAACTGCTGCTACACTTAATATTTTCTTTGCACGCTTCCTAACTACACGTTGTGTGATGTGCTCTCTCTCTAATACAGTTTTATAAGTCAGAGGTTCCCAAACTGTGGTCTGCAGCCCCCTAGAGGTCCACAGTAATACATCAAATTTATGAAACTACCATTTATTGAAAGAGTAACGATTGAAATAAAATGTGAGGTTTCTCTTAACTTGCATATATAAAATCGAAGTATAGAAACAAGTTAAGTGTAGCCGGATCTTCGTTTGAAACTGTCAGACACTGACCCAGAAATTTGAAGATTGTTTCAGCAAATCATCCTTCATATTAAAGTAAGTCGCAAGATTTTTTTTCTTAATTTTCCATATTTAAATCTCTTGTCATTGTTATTTTCTTAAAACCAGAATCATGCTGTAAAGGTAGTAAAATATACATATGATACAACAGTTACACATGATAAAAACTATTTTTAACGGGAGTGGTCCACCAATAAAGTAAAGAAGTTGAAGGAAGTCCGCTGGTTGGCAAAGATTGTGAACCCCTGCTCTAAGTAACAATGAAATTCAACATTATAAAAACATTTTACAACTGCAATATTCAACTATTTTGAAACTAACAGAAAAACTGAAATACTAAATATGATTACATGAACAATACAATCCTATCAAGAATTTCTGAAACTCTCCTGTAATAAAATTTAGTTTCATTGAACTTGGAAGTAAATATATAAAGTTTTGAAACAACTATTTGTGGGATAAAACTAACAGATTTATTTCAGTACAAGCAAATATGTTTACATTTGTTGTACCTGATGATGACAAAACCTTGTCGAAACGTTGTACATTTGCTGTTATGTTGAACTTACATTAAAGTTTTTCTTCATTACCCATTCAAGCCATCTCCAACCATTATTAGTCTCAAAGTGGGTTCCTCGTCATCGAATATGTTTACATTTATTTTGCTCACTTCCACATTTATGAAGCCTTTAAGTTTAATGACAAATCATTAATCTCAGATTACAGAGCATTTTAATTTATAAACTCTAACTTCTAAGTTTTATTAAAAACAATTACTTTTCAACAAAGTCCTAAAAACAAACAATGAAGATACCACAAATGGTAGATGGGATAGTACTACTATTAGTACCATTAGCAATCCATAGAAAACATGGTCGTTGTACAATTTATAAATGTAATTGCAACTTGCAAGTGTAACGTATAACATTACAAGCTATATAAATTATACTAGTAATTTTACGCATAAATCTTTTAAGTTTTAAAAGCAGGAAACTATCAAACTATGTTCAATATCGAAAATAGGCGTTTTAAATGTACAAAACATAATAAAAACTGTGGGTTGGTGTAAAATTAGCTACGACTAAGAAAATAATAACTAGTCATAATCAATGAGTCAAACTGTGGGATTTAAATCCTAAAGTCAACAATAGCGTCGCCATTTTGCTCTCAGCTTCACGAAGACTGATATTTTTGTTCTAAAATTTTATGTGTGACAGCAAAAAGATCGATAAGTAGAACACTAGCTCTACTGGAAATATCCGAAGTTTGTTTCATAATACTTTTCGAAAGAAAAAGTCTAATAGTTAGTTTAACTTTAGTATATCCAAAAAGAACTCATAAGACCTAACAAGAGGAATTGGAAACCGAACAATGTAGGTGACGTTACCCGTACAGCTGAACCTATTTTCTAGTACTTAGTTTAAAGAGAAAGAAATACTGACCGGTGGGGGCTTTATTTTGCAGATGCCTGCTCTTTCTGCGATGGGTCTGATCTTCGCTATAAAAGCAAGAGGGTCCTTAAATTCTTCAACTGTAGGCTCAAAAACTGGGGCTTCTGGTGGAGGTTTGAAATCCCACTCCATAGTTTTTTTAGAAAAGAACGACACTGTATATGTTAACTAAACATAGTTTCCACGTTCCCACAACATGGATCTTCCCCCAAAACGCCACCTCGGCTTCACACGAGCCTCGCACAGTCACAACCTTAATCGCACTTACTAATTGACGCACTAAATCTTCGGTGTATTGCTCCATTTAGAAACATAATTCTCAAATATGGCCAATTTAATAACAGTTTTTATTAAATAAAAACACTAAAAATGGTATTTTGAATCTTCAAATATTATCTTTTAAAAAAAAGTCGAATAAACTGACTAAAAACATTAATGTTAGTGAGGCGGATGGATACAAACTCGAATATAAATTTGTAGGTTGTTCAGCTGCGAGGGTGACAGCCCTTATTAGATAATGTATCTCCGTGAATGAAAGTTTTAACCCACATGACAAGGCATAGTAGCCTGTTGGTTACTTAGCTGTTCTACGTAATTTATAAGGTATTTCTGTGGTTCGTGTTTCATAATCATATCTTCACTTCTTTTTTAAACTCATGTCAATTATGATTTTTCATGAAATATTCATATTTTGAAGATTTGCATAGCAATATTAAAATATGGAAGTGATTACAGTGTGGAAAGTATCATTTTTAATAGCATTGGTTTACGCACACATATATCTACAGTTTAACGTAATATTATATGACAAAACAAATTTCTAGTCGGATCTAACAACCATATTTTACTGAAGTGATGACAGGAAGTACCAACTTGAAACTGCACATCTCAGCTGATCATAGTATGAATTTTATTGCACAATGTGGGTTAATATGTTTGATACTGTAAGCTACATAGTTAACGTTTCAATTTATATGTTAGCAGTTAGCTAGAGGGTGCATGACGTTAAAGTAGGCCTAGAATATCTAGAAAGTTCTAAACTTGAAGTCAAGAATCTAGTAAATTCGGGAACTATCGAAAGACGAGAGTAGATTATATATATTGTTGCGTCAGCGAGTCACATGACTACTGTGACGCCACGTTTCTACCAAAGTACAGGATAGTTCCGAATGCTCGAGTATTTACTAGATATAGGGTAGTCGGGTATATAAAAGAGGGGGACAACGTGACGCGGTAATGTGTGTATAGACAATGAGTAATTGAACTGCAGTCAGAGAGCACGAGAGACGTTACAGCGTTTGTTTAGCGCGATTGTTGAAGTTGAGTGTATCGGTAAAGTTGTATTCGGAAAGAATAAACCAGTTTTATTAAGTAAAGAACTTGTGTCGCTAAAGTTTCGTCGGAACGAAGTTACGGAAAGTTAATTAACAAACGGAGACGTAACAATATGTATCTATGTACATGCAGAATTAATAAATACACTGTGGCGCCATCTGTTGAATGAAACCACAAACAAAAAACCATAAAAATGTTACACTTTCCGTATTCAAGATTAAGACAATTAGGAAAGTAACTACGGTATGTGCAACAACCATTTCTTTGTCTTTCTCGACTTCTGACATCTCAACAGTTTCACTCTGTTCAGGCTGCGGCAAAGGCTTGATGTGCCTGAATAATTATATAAACAAACATCACGTTATAATGATGCTAATGCTTCTTTGTTATGGAGCACTGTGATTTGACGTGACAGTAGCACAAGTCACTCTAAACACCCCTCGATATCTGTTATAGCTTATCTTACTATAATGGATGTAGCGTGTGTATACATGTATTTCTGTATTTGGCCGAAATAATAAATACAATGTCACCACAAACAAATATCCGTAAAAAAAAAGTTTCACACTTTCGGTATTCAAGATTCAGACAGTTAGAAATATAACTGTGGTATGTACAACAACCATTTCTTTATAATAGAACACAATTTTAAGTAAAAGTACTCTCCTCACAACAAGAACACGACTTTCACTAGGACTATACGTGAGGGTTTGATTACATCTTTATTGGTGTAAGTTTTAAATATAGTACTAAAAAATGGAGTCCTTAAACTTATTTTTTTCAATAAATGGTACCACTTTTTTATATAAAAAAAACCCTTACAGTTTATGCACACACACACACACACACACACA